TTGCATTTTCCTCTGAACTTTCCCAGGAAAATTTCTTTTTTTTTCCTCTTCTGATTAATCTTCATTACTCTTTTTTTTTTCTTTACCTCTTTCTGAAAAAAAAAAATTGTTTTCTTTTTCTTTTCTTGTTTTTAATCTCTTTTTCTCTCTTTGCGTGTGTGAGATTTTTTCCTCCTTCCATCACTTTTTCCCGATTGTTGATTTTTATATCTTCCTCTGTTAATGGTGTTTCTTCAACCTCACTCCCTAAACAATTTCTCTCGCATTGTCACTGTGAGATTTTTCCCTGATGGGTTTTGTCTGCTAAACATGGAGATTTGATCGGACCAAAAAAGATCGAATTTTTCTTCCCTTATTGTGAGTCTTTTTTTCCTCTGATCGTCGTACACTATTGTCTCAAGGACTGATCTCATTTTCTCGATTTGATTTGTTTCTCTTTCTACGATCGTTTAAGATGTTCTCAGTCCGTACAGTTTCTGGAGTTGGATCAAATCTGATGAATTTATTTTGTTTCTAAAATCTGATCGCTTTTTTTTTTTGGGAGTTGGATCAAATCTCATGATTCATGTATGTAGTGTTTTGATCTCTCACAATGCAATTGTTTGGAGTCTATGGTTTTTGAGTGATTAGTGACACTGAAGAAATTATCTTTGTTTGTTTCTTTATGAGCTTTCTTTTGCAGTTGAATATTTTATTGATTTGAAGTATGAGACAAAAAGTAATTGAACAAATAAATAATTGTTTTTGTTGCTGATTAGTGGTGGATTCTTTGTCCCAATGTTTTTCCTTTTGATGTATTTAAGAACCTTCCAATGTTTTTTTTAAAGGTCTTCTTGAATAAGAACAACAACTTGTGACAACACCTATAAAGATCTTTGTCTGTTTCTTACATAGTTTCTTTGTTGTTCGTTTTAACAAGCTTAAGAAGAGTGTTCTTTGTTTCTTTTGTTTGTTGCAGTTGTATAAGATCTTTGATCATCACAATTTGGAGTTGAAAGTTTGGATTTTTATCTTGTGCAAAAGTGTATAAAATCATCGATCTTTGAGATGAATCAGAGAAGAAACGAGCCAGAGTTTGATGAATTCGAGAAGCTTCTTGGTGAGATTCCAAAAGTTACTTCAGGTAACGATTACAATCGTTTCCCTATATGTTTGAGCTCAAGCAGATCATCACAACCCATCAAGAAGACGGTTCAATTCGATGAACAAAATCTCCCCGATGATCGCGCATTTACCTCTGCATTTGCTGAAGCAAACTCAAACTTTGGAATTCAAGAAAATCAACATCTTATGTTCATTCCTTCTTACCATTCCCCAAACACCTCACCTTGTGTATATGACAAGTTTGATTCAAGAAAACTCGATCCTCAAATGTTTAGGAAGCTACAACAAGTTGGTTGCTTCCCAAATTTCTCTCCCGGGATCTCGCCTTCTGCTCAGCCGCAGCATTACATGCCATCCTCTCAGTCTCTGTCTCACCATCCATCCTTGGATCAGTGGAGGGATATCGAAGAAGGACATTTTCAGAGACAGATACTGCAAGAAGAACAGTACTTGTCTATGAACCCTCATTGCCTCTATCTTTACAATAATACTCAGAGCGTGGACATTGCTCCAAGGCAGGAACATTTCGAGTATCGCCGAGCTGATCAATCCAACAGAAACTTGTTTTGGAATGGAGAAGATGGTGGTGAGAGTGTGAGGAGTTTGGATGGGGTAAGGAAAATGTGCTTTCCGGAGAAGATTTTGATGAGATCACAGCTCGGTTTAAACACCGCTAAAGTCATAAAGTACGGTGTTGGAGACGAATCACAAAATGGAAGACTTTGGTTGCAGAATCAACTCAATGAAGATCTCACAATGAGCCTCAACAATCTAACATTGCAGCAGCCTCCAAAGTATAACTCTCTTGCAGAGGTAAGAGGGAAGATATATTACATGGCAAAGGATCAGCACGGTTGTCGCTTCTTGCAGAGAAAATTCGCGGAGAAAGATGGGAACGATATAGAGATAATCTTTAATGAGATCATTGATCATATCAGTGAGCTTATGATAGATCCTTTTGGGAATTATTTGGTTCAAAAGCTGCTCGAAGTATGCAACGAAGATCAGAGAATGCAGATTGTTCATTCCATAACTAGAAAACCAGGAGTGCTTATCAAAATCTCCTGTGATATGCACGGGTAAAGACCGTTAAATCATTTCATTTCGATATGAATATCGATGTGTTATGGTTAGTAATTGATCTGGTTTTTCAATTTGAAACAGGACTAGAGCTGTTCAAAAGATAGTTGAAACAGCTACGAGACACGAGGAGATCTCGATAATCCTTTCTGCTTTGAAGCATGGAATTGTGACTCTGATCAAGAATGTTAATGGTAATCACGTTGTTCAACGATGCTTGCAGTATTTGTTACCTCATTGCGGAAAGGTAACAACTTTCTTTACAGTTTTCCATTGTTATGAAAATCGGTTTTTTCGTCTTTAAATCCGTTTTGTTTCCTCTTTCAGTTCCTCTTCGAAGCAGCGATTACTCATTGTGTTGAGCTTGCAACTGATCGACATGGATGTTGTGTGCTTCAAAAATGTCTTGGCTATTCGGAGGGCGAACAAAAGCAACGCTTAGTCTCTGAAATTGCTTCCAATGCTTTACTCCTCTCTCAAGACCCTTTCGGGTATTTTTTTCTCGATTTCTCTCTGTCTCTCTTTGAGCTTGTAAATCTAATGCTTGTGAATAATGGAGAAAAGATGCAAAATTTTTTAACAGGAACTATGTTCTTCAATATGTCTTTGAGCTTCAACTTCAATGGGCAATCAACGAAATCCTCGAGCAATTAGAAGGAAACTACACCGAGTTATCGATGCAGAAATGTAGCAGCAATGTAGTTGAGAAATGTCTGAAACTAGCTGATGACAAACACCGAGCTCGCATCGTCAGAGAACTCATCAACTATGGTCGTTTTGATCAAGTGATGTTGGATCCTTATGGAAATTATGTCATTCAAGCAGCTCTTAAACAATCCAAGGTAAACAAAAACCAAACACACAAACTGCTTATTGATTCAAATTCAGTCCCTAAAAGATCAGATTGTTGCAGGGGAATCTTCATGGTCTTTTGGTTGATGCCATTAAACTTCACATCTCATCTCTTCGTACCAATCCTTATGGTAAAAAAGTCCTCTCTGCACTTAGCTTGAAGAAGTAAATCCACAGGTAAAAAAAAACCCGAAAAATCGAAACTTTTTTTCCTCTCTTTTTCATCTCTCGATATAACCGTTGATATTGTTTTTGTTTTTCTTGACAATTGCAGATTTGTAGCAAATGTTGCTTGCTGTTTGTTGTTGGTAAAGTTACCCTTTGTAAATGTAATGTAATAAGAGCATTTTGGTTTTAAAGATTCAAAGAGACAAAAGAATCAATCTAATCTTACAATTCCGCTATGTTTCAACTTTCAACTTCTTTCTTTGTACAATTTGAAAGATCACATAAAATGCAACCTCCCAAAAAAATGTGAGAGTTAATTCTTTTTTTTTTTTTTTACGTGGAATGGTTTCTTGGAAGAGAAGTAAATAGGCTTTTTGAATAAATGGATGGTCAAGATTCCAAAGATAGTCATGGGGGCTTCTCAAAACTCATACGTGTTGGCTATTGGCTATTTATA